CCCCATCTCCAAGACCGGTGGGTCACCACCCCTCAGGCAATGGGAGAGGTCAAGAACGAGAATCCTTCATGGTAACCTCAGCCAGTGTGGGAATTGAACCCATGCTGTTGATGTTACTCTATACTACAAACCAGCCATCCAGCCAACTTGAGCTAACCAAACCCACTGGTTATAGTAGGTTTAGGTATGATTTGTCTGGTTAGCACACAATACAATACTCTTCACTGTGTTTCAGTATATGTGACAACAATAAATCGAATCAATAAAACACTAAGAGGGATGGTGGACAGTCTGTTTCGCTGTTGTAAGTTCTAACAGGCAATCTTTGATTGCCTCATCTTTCGTTCTTCATTTATTGATCATTCCTATTCTGACGACCACAAATGGAACCCCACAGCATCCTCTACCATGACATCTGCATGCGTTCAACTTGCTTTCTTCATTTTTGTTAATATTATGAATCCCAAATCAATTTAAGATTTCAATGCTGTTCCAGCATCTTGGAAGACCTCTCATATTAGCAAAAACCAAGAGAAAATCAGGTACAAACTGAAATGAGACAGGAAAGGGTGGTTAGTGACAAATATAAAGCTCATAATTTATCAGGGGAACAAAAGTTAGGGAGTAGAGGAGAGACCTAAAATAGGGACTAAGTGCCAAGACTTTCAGGATAGTCAGCAGCTAGAACAGATTACTAGCAAAAATGTGGACAAGGGAAGTCTAAGGCTGTTTAGGGAATAAACAAGATGTCTTCTTGCAAAATCAGCAGGCATGGCTGACGTACTTAGTTAGTACTTTGTAATCATCTTCACTCATGAAGAGGTTGCAGTAAAGGAGAAGGTTGTGGTAATATTTGATCCGATAATATATCAAGAGGAAGTATTTAAGAGTTAGGCACTCCTCAAAATAGAAAAGTCATCCAATATAATAGGAACACATCAACTGAAGGAAGTAATGCTGGAAATCGCTGGTCACAGTCATCCATCTTTGGATATGCCAGAGTGCACTGCAACCATCAGGCACCAATTCACAAGGGAGAGAGGGACAAACCTGGGAGCAAGAGGCCAAGCTGCCTAAGATCTGCTAATCAGTAACGTAAAGAGACAACAATTTGGGATAAAATTATTTAGTATTTGAAAAACGATGGCCAATTACTTGGAAATCAGTATAGATTGGATTGAGTTATTCAATAGGGACTAAGAATATGGATGGGGAGGTGGGCATTTGATGTGTCTATACAGTTTCAAAGGCATCTGATAAAGTGCCACACCAGAAACTTGTTAGCAGAATTATACCCTATGGGATGAAAGGGATAATGCCAGAACGGATACAGAGTTGTCTCCAGAGCAGAAGGCAGACAGGAATGCTGAATGGCTATTTGTTAGACTGGAGTTAGGTCTGTAGTGGTGTCGCTGTAGGGATCAGTGTTGGGGCTACTGCTCCTCCTGACATTGCTGACCTGGGCTTGGATACACAAGGCATACTTTCAAAGATTGTGCATAGACAAAGTTAGAAGATAGAGACTTCAGGAGAATATTGATAGGCAGACATATCGCAATTAACATGTGATGCAAAGAAGTAAATATATACATCAACGATAAAGAAGACAATGTCTGAAGGATGATAATTAAGCTTGATTAATTGATTCAAAGATTGACCAAGTGGTTAATAAAAAGATGGAGGTCTTGGGTTACAGGGGGATATAAGCAGATTGGTCAAATGGACAGATCAGTGTCACATGGAATTTAACCCTGCTAAGTGTGAGACAATGCACTTTGAAAGAAGTAACAAGACAAGGGAGTACTCAAGGAATAGCAAGACACGAGGAAACTCAGACGAACAGAGGGATCTTGGAGTACTTGTTCACAGATCCTGAAGCTGTAAGTTTAATAGGGTTGTTAAGGCATACAGGACACATGCCTTCATCAGTCAAGGCATAGATGATAAAAGCAGGGAGGTTATGTTGGAGCTGTACAGAACATTGGTTAGGCCACAGTTGAAGTACTGTGTGCTGTTCTGGTCTCCACACTATGGGAAGAATATGATTGCACTGGAGATTCACCAAGATGTTGCCTGAGATGGAGCATTCCAGCTCTGAAGAGAGGCTGAATAAGCTTGGGTTGTTTTATTTAGAGCAGAGAAGGCTGAGGTAGTCCTTACAAAGGCATTAAGATTATGAGACGCATAGACAGAATAAACAGAAAGCAGCTATTCCCCTTATTTGAAGAGTTAATAAAAGGGGGCATAATTTTAAAGTGAAATGCAGGAGGTTTAACACATTTATGGAAAAATTTTCATCAAGGGCGGTGGGTGTTTGGAAAGTACTGCCTGGGAAGGTGGTTGAGGCAGGAAACCTCACGATCTTTAAACAGTACTTGGATGAGCACCTGAAGTGTCAAAACATTGAAGGTTATAGGTCACATGCAGGAAAGTGGGACTAGTGTAGATTGAGAGTAGGTTTTGTCAGTGCAGACTCAAGGGCCAAATAGCCTCTTCTGTACTCTACGATCCTATGAGAAGTATGAAGAGGCCACAACCAAATCAGCTGTGATTGTACTGAATGGTGGAGCAGACTCAAAGGGCTTAATGTCCATTCTCTAACTGTTCAAGTAAAGCCATGTGACCACTGCCACTCAGGAGCATGCAGCATCTCAAAATATTGAACTTCTCGCCTCCCTCAGTCTCCTTCATGTCACCTGGTTTTTCTTATCTATCGTGGTCTCCCTCGCCTCCCACCCCAACTCCCAGCCTCCATCACCTCCCTTTATCTCCTCCACATCTCTCAGATTCCTACACCTTCCTCGGTTTCCCTCAACTCCCTCACTGTCCATTTGTTTTATTGTCTTTTGGCTTTTAGTGCAAGTTCAACCTCACCTGAATGATACTGGCTTATCTTCAATTCTTCCTCATCGCCTGGTGTGGTCTTTCAGCTGCCGGTTCTCAGTGTAAATATTCTACATATTGACACCGAACTCTGCTACCTTTTCAGTTAATGCACCTCAGACTAAATAATAAATTAACATTGCTCAATGGACAAGCATGAAATGGAAAGATATTGAGTCTACATTTGGGTGTCTATGGAGAGGCAGCATACTGTGCTCACGAGCACAATCAAGGCTCTAAAAGACCACTGGGTACTGCAGGGGCTGAGGTACATTATCACTGTGGATAATGTTATTTCAATTTAAGAAGTCTACATTCTCCCAACTTAAACGGGTGCAGAAAAAGATTTACGAGGATGTTGCCAGGGTTGGAGGGTTTGAGCTATAGGAAGAGGTTGAATAGGCTGGGACTATTTTCCCTGGAGCGTCAGAGGCTGAGGGGTGACTTTATAGAGGTTTATAAAATCATGAGGGTCATGGATAGAATGAATAGCCAAAGTCTTTATCCCAGGGTAGGGGAGGCCAAAACGTAGGAGAGCATAGGTTTAAGGTAAGAGGGGGAAAGATTTAAAAGGGACTCAAAGAGGCAACCTTTTCATACAGGGGGTGGTGCGTGTATGGAATGAGCTGCCAGAGGAAGTGGTGGAGGCTGGTACAATTACAACATTTAAGAGGCATCTGGATGGCTATACACATATGAAGGGTTTAGAGGGATACGGGCCAAATGCTGGCATATGGGACTAGATTTATTTAGGATATGTGGTCAGCATGGACGAGCTGGACCGAAGGGTCTGATCTGTGCTGTACATCTCTATGACTCTACAAGTTTGTTGATTGTTAATTTGTATTTTTGTTCTAGTGCCACCAGGGGCTGCTGAACCATACTTGATCATTTAGGTTTAAAACAACAAAACTGAAAGATATTAGCCTGAGTGCCTGGCACACTCAGACTTATCCCGACCTTGATTTCCCTGAGGGACAGGCAGCTCTTTGCGTCCAAAGATAAAAGAACAGTACAGTACCGGAACAGGCCCTTTGGCCCACCAACACATGATGCCTTTCTAAACTGAAAACCTTTTCACTCTACGCAGTCCATATCCCTCTATTCCCTGCCCATTCATGTATGGGTCAAGATGCCTCTTAAATGTTACTATTGTATCCACTTCCATTGCTACATCTGACAGTGCTTTCCAGGCACTTACCACACTCTGTTGTAAAAAAACTTGCCACTTTAAAGCTTTCCCCCTTTTGCCTTAAACCTATGTCCTCTAGTAACCGACATTTCTACCCTGGGTTAAAAAAGAAAACTGACTATCCATTCCTCTCAATTTTGTAAACTTTGATCGGGTCACCCTTGGTCCTTCAATATCCAAGTGAAAACAATTAAGTTTGTCAACTTCTCCTCACAGCTCATACCCTCCAAACCAGGCAACATACAGTCGGTTCTGATATAACACGTGTTTCTTCAATGCGATGGAAGAATTTAGGCCACTATTTGTAGAACGCGAATTTTCCTTACCTGTATTGGCTATAACGCGATTCTAGCCTCACTTGTTTAAACGGTGCGGACACTGTGAATTTCTTACAACGCAAGGTCGCACGGGAACGGAACTATTGCGTTATATCAGAACCGAATGCACCGGTAAACCTTTTCTATATTCTTTCCAAAGCCTCCACAGCCTTCTCATGGCGTGGTGACCAGAACGGTACACAATATTCCAAATACGGCCTGATTAATGTTTCCTATCTCCCACCAGAACAGGGTACTGGAGTGCTGTAGGTTGGCATGGTGGGAATGCCAATGATCCAGTGGGTTTGAATCCCACCATGGCAGATGGTCAGATCTGAATTCAATGGAAAGTTAGCCTAATGTCCACCATGTAACACTACTGTCTTGTTGTACAAACCCAGCTGGTGCCACTCATCTCTTCCAGGGGCAGAAATCTGCCGCCCTCACTTGGTCTGGCTTCCATGTGACTCCAGACCCACAGCAATGGACTTGACTGTTGACTGCTCAATATGCGACTCCACAAACCCTCAAACAAATTAAAGAAAAATTCCCCCACCCTGGCGGGAGTGCAGACTGCCCGGTCCAAACCCCCCCCCACCCCAGAGCCCCTACCTGAGGTGGATGCTGACAGTCAGGTACCTGTCGATAGCCACCGCCAAGAGGCTGAAGATGGAGCTCTGGGTGAGCACCAGGACGAAGCAGGCGAGGAACAGGCAGCCGTGGAAACGGGTGCTCATGCCCACGCTGATGATGATGGCGAACGGGATGGCGAAAGCTCCGACGGCGATGTCAGCCACAGCCAGAGACACCAGGAAGTAGTTGGTGGCGCTTTTCAGGTTGTTGTTGGTGGCAACAGCCCAGCAGACCAGCACATTGCCCAGAATGGCCAGCACCGCGATCAGCAGCTCCAGACCAATGTAACCCCAGCTAATCTCCATCCCGCTTCAACAACCCGCCAGCCTGGGGCTACCCATGGAGCACACCACCCACTGCTCCCGGGGGGGGGGAGAGCACACCACCCACTGCTCCCGCGGGGGGGGGGGGGGGGGGGGGGGGGGAGGGCTTCCGGGGGGAGGGTGCACACCACCCACTGCTCCCGGGGGCACACCACTCACTGCTCCCGAGGGGGGGTGGGGGGAGAGTGCACACCACCCACTGCTCCCGAGGTCGGGCGGGGGGGAAAGAGTGCACACCACCCACTGCTCCCGAGGGGAGAGCACACCATCCACTGCTCCCGGGAACCAAAACAAAGTTGCTGGAGAAGTTCAGCAGGTCTGGCAGCATCTGAGAGGGAAAAACACAGTTAACGTTTCGGCTCCGGGCTCCCGGGGACAGCCCTCACTCCGCCTTCCTCTCTCTCCTCCTCCCTCCCCACCCTTTTAATGCCCCTCACACCCTACCCATCATTGCCTCTCTCCCTCCTCGCCTTTCAGTTCACTCCCTCACCCTCGCATTCACACCTTCTGTCACTTTCTAAGCCTCCCTCTCTCCTTTCTGCCCGCCTTTCTCTCCTCTTCCCTCACCCTTTTGCCCCTGTGTTTCTTTGTTCTCTTGCAGTCTTTCACCTTTAAGTTTACTATACCGCTCTACTTCTCATGTTTGACTTTTTGCTGAGTATATTTCCCTTCTCTGGGTTTCTCAGTTCGGTCCCCCTTGGATCAGTCCCGGTCTCTCTCACTTTCCCAGTTTGCGAGCCCGGCTCAGACACATTTTCACTCTGGCTCGGCAGGGAGCGTCTGAAACACCAAACCAGGGAGAGTCTCAAAGAACAGCTTCCACTGAGGGAACGTCTTCAAATCGCAAAAGCACTTAGCCTCGCTATGAGTGAACAGATGCAAATTGTACAGCAATCTGCCTGCTTGCATTGATCACAAAAGAACACACACAATACATTTTTTAAAAGTGCAGGCCATTCGGCCCAGTTTGTGCCAGACTCCCTTTTCCCGCTCCCTCATCAAATTCAGGAGCAAACAGATTTTCCCAGTTAGGATTGAATCAGAGATAGTAGGAACTGCAGATGCTGGAGAATCCGAGACAACAAGGTGCAGGGCTGGATGAACACAGCAGGCCAAGCAGCATCATAGGAATCGTCTCAAGACATGAGTGAATAAACAATGTGCTTTAAGGGTTTCTTAATAACGGAAGGGAGGAAGTGTCTTGTTTTTGAGCTAGGTTTCTGTGCACGTGGATCTCATGATCTGAACTGGGTTGGAGCGGCCCACACAAGGATGAAAGAAGAATATCAGCACAGGGTCTGAAGACGGCTGGCTGGACCTGAAACGTTAACTCTGCTTTCTCTGGATGAGCGTGCCAGAGCGGCTGAGTTTTCCCGCACTTTCTGTTTGTGTTTTATATTTGCAGCATTCGTAGTTCTTTGTTTTATTTTGGGGCATGGTTACCCTCACCACACCCAATCACAGTATTATGCACTGACTCAATGCACTGTGTACAACATTTGACTGCACAATACAGTGTCTAACCATGAGACTACAAGGTGCAGGGCTGGATGAACACAGCAGGCCAAGCAGCATCATAGGAGCAGAGAGGCTGACGTTTCGGGCCGAGACCCTTCATCAGAAAAGGGGGAGGGGAAGGGGGTTCTGAAATAAATAGGGAGAGAGTGGGAGGCGGATAGAAGATGGATAGAGGAGAGGATAGGTGGAGAGGAAACAAACAGGTCGAAGAGG